AGCCTCTGCCTCCCTACTGCAGCAGGAAAGGCCACTTACGTTTCTCACAAATATCTGACAGGCCTTCCTGGCCACTCCAGGGGCATGGCCTCCAGCTCCGCCAAAGGAACCTGCAAAGCTCCCTCCAAAGTTGCCGCGCTCCATCTCGATGGCGCGATCAAAGCTGGCTCCGCCACCGCCGCCCATGGCCAGGCCCATGCGCTCGATGCCAGCACCCAGGGCAGGGCCCATGGCAGGGCCCATGCGCTCCAGGCTGTTGGCACCCATGCGCTCCAGGCCCATGCGCTCCAGACTGTTGGCGCCCATGCGCTCCAGGCCCATGCGCTCCAGGTTGTTGGCGCCCATGCGCTCCAGGCCTGTGGCCATGCGATCCATCACAGGGCCCATGCGCTCTAGGCCGGCCCCGATGCCAGCCGGCACCATGCGCTCCATGCTCAGGCCCATGCGCTCAATGGCAGGGCCCATGCGCTCCACACCAGAGCCCATGCGCTCGATGGTCTGGCCCACGCGGTCAATGGGCGCGGCCATGCGCTCCAGGCCAAAGCCCATGCCGGCACCCATGCGCTCCACACCAGAGCCCATGCGCTCCATGGTCTGGCCCATGCGCTCGATGCTGGAGGCCATGTGGTCGAGGCCCAGGGGGCCCATGCGCTCAATGCCGGCACCCATGCGCTCCACTGAGCCCATGCGGTCCATGACCAGGCCCATGCGCTCAATCTCAGAGCCCACACGGTCCATGCCGTGGCCCAGGCCGGCACCCATGCGCTCCATGCTGGCACCCCCAATGCGGTCAATGCCAGGGCCCATCCTCTCGATGCCAGGGACGCTGCCTCCGCCTCCACCTGGAACAGGGCCACAAAACACAGGCAGACGTCAGGAGCTGGCCATATGAAGATGGCCCTGGCACGTGGGAATCAATCAAGCCCCGAGTGCTTTCCCCATCTCGACAGCCCTGGAAAGCTGGCTCGGCTCAAGCAGAGCAGCAAGCACCAGGTCCTGCCTGGCAGCATTCAACCCACTTCTGAGCCACAATTTCAGCTTCCAGGACAAAAATCCTGGAAGGTATGCACTGGCCATGTCTTCCCTTAAAGCTTTAAGTGAGCCACAACCGCTGAGACCACTGCCCGTTCCCACCCCCACAGACTTGGAGTGGGGGGGTGGGGGGGCCCCGCAAAGGAGTACCTCAGATGGCCTGCCACCAGTATAACAAAGGGGACAAAAATTCAGAGTCACTTGCAATTTCCCTCCTGCTCCCCACTTGCCCCTTTGAGATGCCCTTCTGTCAGCCAGTTGAGCAGCCTGTCCTCTGCCTTCCACGGCACAGAGAAGCCACTGCACAACCACAGGGAAGGCAGCGATGTCAATCGAGCCAACACCGGGCCAGGGGCTGTGCCGACACTGCTTAGAGGTTCTGAAAGAGACCTGGCCCCAGTCCCTCAGCTCAGGACATGACCAGTTAGTCAGTCCTCTTTGCTCTCCTCAGTCCAGCACTGCTGCCACTTTGGAGCTGGTGGGTAAGCCACAGCTGGCTCAGGCAACGGTGTCTCCCCGAATAGCATGGGGACCCAGCAGAGCCACTCTACTTCTCTGTGCCCGTGTCTGTGGCTGAGGAACAGCACACCAAGTGGCAAAAAAGAAACTCAACTTTAAAGATGAAAACGAAGCAGAACTCTCTCACTGATCACCTAACTTCTTCATGCTGTGAAATAGGAGAGGCCCAAGGAGGGTGGGAGCAGGAAGCCGCAACAACCTACTGGGGGGCTGACATGGGAATCCAGCAGCTTGAACAAGAGTGTGCGGGTCCTAAGCAGCCTTAAGCAGCCTATATGTGTGGCTGAGAGGAAGATGACACCCCAAAGGCTTTCCTCCCCAGGAGGGGTTGTGGGTGGCCAGGCTGTCTCTGTGATTCACCTTCCACTCAGTCTGCATGCTTGCTGCCGTCAGTGCGTGCCGCTGTGTACTCTCAATTTCCTAGCTGGGTCTTCAGAACAGCTTTCCTTCTGGGGGAGAATGGGGAAACCAAGGAAGCCCCTACCATAAAGGTGAGGCAGTACTGAGACCCGCTGACACTCAGCACACAACCACGAGGGTTTCATAAGCTCATAGCAGAATGGAATTCCCTCACTAACTGTTGGAAGGTGTCCCCCCACCCCCGTGTGCGTGTGCATTCACGTGTTTGCTCTCTACAACAACTCTCTGAGAGAGTACTATTTATTATAGCCCCATTTTACAGATGAGGACTATGAAAAACAAGTGAGGTCCAGTAACTTGACACACGCCCCACAGCTAGGGAGAGTCCTGAGGCAGGTAGGCAGTCTGCCTCTGATCCCCTCCATGCTCCTGCTATAACCTACTTTAAGAAAAGCCTGTGCTAAAAGACAAGACAATTGAAACATCAGCCGGAACGCATCCTACCTCCTCCCTGCTTTGCCATGATCGCTCCTCTCTTCAATGCATTACTTAGGATTTCTATGGGAATCAGGAAGGAAAAAAGATTACATTTTTCTGAGATAGTAGAAACTTGCTTATTACAGATTTCAGAGAAGGAATGTTATTAAGACAAGGGAAAATATTATGG